TTTCTGCTCCTTGTCGTTTCTGCCCAGATATAAATATCTCATTCATCGCCGTAGTAACTGAGTAGCTTACGCTGCACTCTCGCAGGCTGCTCCTCTGCTCCGGCTCTGCCTTTGTCTGGCGCTGTTGAAACTTGCAGCGAGCCCAGGGTTTCTGCCTTACCTGCTTGTCCTCTTGTTTGCCTTCAAGTCCACGTAGCGCTTGGCAAATTAAAAAAGGAAGTGAATGAAAGCTTGTTAATGAAAGCTGGGTTTTGTAATGATTTAATATTGTGGTAAGACAGTTTAAAGCTGGAGAAGACTGAGAGCCTTTATAGTAGATAACTCATACGGTTTTTATTTTTCTTCCTAAAAGAAAAATCAAACGACTTGCCTAGAATGCTCGCTCAATTACATTTCCCTCTAAGATCAACTGAAACCACAGCCCAGATAAATAGCTATCATATTTTGCAGTGTTTCTATCCATTAAGTGCCACTAGAGGGTCAGTAATGGATGCGATATTGATTCATTTTTGGTAGAACTGATGTGTTTGAACTCAGAACAATCCCATAGTCATACCATCATATATCATTGGAAAAGTACTCTGAAGAATTTATCTTCTAACTTGATCATGATCGGGTGCTTTGGGAAGTCCTACCTGTTACGTGAAGTGTTTTCAGAGACAAACTGCTGCAAGGTTAAACTAGTCCACACAGGCCAATCTCATCCAAAATGCCCACACAAGCCTTCTGGTAAAGTTGCAGAGCGCTTGAATGTTTTCCATCTTGTTGACAACGGGGTGTGGTTTTGTAGACCTGCAACTCCTTGAAATGTGGTACGTTTGGGTAAAGAGCACAGTAAAAATGTAAAGCTGTGGATTAGAGTGAGCTGAGAGTGGGTACCTGTTGCAGAGATTGGTATCAGGAGGATGACCCAAACCTGTGAATATATGAGTGGCACGCTGCCCTGAAAATGATTTGAACTCTGGTGCTACTGTTTTGTTGCCTCCCTAAATCTCCCCGTCCATGCCTGGGTGAACAGCTGCTGACTGAGACCACGCGTACTTTGAAGTATTTCCTCGCCAGCAGAAAGTATTCCGCTACAGTGGCGGTCTAGGATGATTAAGTTTGCAGCCAGTAGGTGAGGCTTGGTAACATGGGCTGTATCTGGGAACTGCGTCCAGCTTTAGACTGACTCCATTTTCAAGTGGGACTTAACTATGGTCATGGTGGCAGTGTTATTTATAAAAAGAAGGCAATCTGTGACTGTGCTGTGGTTTCTGGACCTGTGTTTTAAGTTCATTAGAAATCAGTAGCAATATTGATCACCTACTGTTTTGTTTATAAACATGCAGCAAAAGACCTGCAACAGTCGAATAGATGCTCAGTAGATCTTGGTGGCAGCTGGTGAACTGTTCTTAGGGGCAGCATCATAATGCTGTTGCATTTTGTCTTTTGAATGTTGCATGGTAAACGCAGCTTGATGCATGCTAGGATTTTGCACGTAAGGACTAAAACCTAGCAGAGCCCCATTGCTACCGGATTACATTCACTGTATTCATTGGTAGACTTGTGTTGCCCATTATCTAACATATAACTCTTCTGTGGATTAGGATGTGACAGACTGCATGAGGAAATGTCAGTCTGACTGGAACTCCTGTTCTCAGGTCGGCTGAGCAGCTCAGCCCACGTGAAACAAGTGACAGCAGGGTCGGAGGAGTAACAAGCTAAGTAAGCTTCAACAGGTGTAACCTCTTATTCACCCAAGGGTGCAGGAATTGAGAAAGGTGAAATTTTTTGTAGGGAGTAATTATTAATAATTTTGATCCCTCTAGCTTTTTAAGAGGCAATATTCTTGCAGTGAATCTGTTACACCAGGAGTAACTCTCTTGTCCTTACTTTGAGGCTTACATAGTCTGTGTAAGGCATTTTTTCTTCTACTCCATTATGTCTCCCATGCTAGCTTCTTACTCTCTTAAACAATTTCTGGACTCTCTTCCATTTTGCTCCTGTAGTGGAAAGCTCTCCTTCCTCTGATGTGGTCTCTCAAGCTGCGTGTCCTTTTTTAATCCCACGCATTCCTGAAAAATGGCCTTTTCTGAGAGGTTTACAGTGTCTGAGTCAATATTTCTCTGTTTCTTTTTGTAAACAAAACCAGTCATTCACAATTCAAAATGAGTAATTCGGTTGCTGTGCTTTGGGCTTCTCTCAAAAGAAGACTGGTGATTCTGAAGTGCATTTCCAGTCTGACATTCTTTTAGGTGAAGCTGAAGATATTTCTTCCATTTGGGTTCTTAAGTGTCCCTTCTCATTTCAGTATAAAACTACCTCTCAGAATATTTTGACCAAAATGATTACCTTTTTTCATCCAAAGCTTTTTTTCTTCATTCTTCTCCCAGGGAAACATTAACCACTATTTAAATAAGCTGTGGTGTGATTCTCTCCCTCTCCTTTTTTTTTTTTCTCCCCTCCTCCCTCCAGAGGTGCTGAGCTAAGCATGCTGAAATTTTCATGAATTAGTCCTCACTGTTGCACATGGATCACTGTGCTGCTATGGAGCCTCATGCTTGTTTTGATTGCCTGTTTTTTTTCTTTAATTTTCTGCATTAATTTGCAATTATATTTTGAAGAATAACCTCTGTTACATATTCCAACTTGTTCTTTGATCCACAGTGTGGTGTCTGGATGTCTCTGGACCATCCGTCAGACTGATTCTTTCAGGACAGATCAGTTCAGGTTGTCTGGAAGGGCTCCCATTCACTGTGTAGGCGTTGCGAGAAGCGTGTTCGTTTCAGGCCTCTGGATCTCTGCTGAACAAACCAGAACTGAAACGTGCTGGGAAGCTTTTGCTTTTTGGTGAATGGCATCTTTCACACCTGGTGATGTGAACGTGTGATGTGGTGGTGACATCTGGTGATCTGGTCTGAAGAACAGATCTGTTGTTAAAGGATCCTAAAGTCTTCTGAGCAGTTATTTTTTCCAAATCTCCCTGCTTTATGAAAGTCTCAGTTTGTGGAAGTGGCTGAAGGGTAAATGTGTGTTGTGCAAAAGGTACACTTATCCTCTGATATCATTTCATATGTTTCTGAAGCATGATAGCCTGTAGAGCACTCTGGGAAAGAAGAGGCAACATAAATGTAGGATTACTGCTGCAGGGTGAAAGGGATGAATGTTGCCTCAAGGTTTGGACATTGGTTCCTTCCTGTATAAATCACTACTTCAGTTCAAGCTGCGGTAAAGACTCAAGCAAAATACATGGCAAGAGGCAGAGCTTCCAGAGTATAGTCTTCATGAAAGAGTCCTCTTCTGTTTTCAATACTGAATGAGTTTCAGAAATTAGAGTTGCTAAAGATTAATGAAAGAATGCTTAGCCATTTTACACCAACTTTTTTCCTTTTGCAGCTTTTAGTTTGACAGCTAATCTTTTCTTTGCCAAGCTACCTACTCATGCAGTAACCATGCCACAGCACAGTTATAGTTGTGTTTATCCTCAGTAGTAGCCAGTTGCACAGCTGTTAAACTGAATTCCTTTCCAGGGAGGAGAGGGGTTAGAAGTTAGCCCAGACATCTTGCATGGCTAGACAGATAATGCTTTTCTTTTGCTTGCTCTTTTGTTAATCTTGAGGCTTCATTTGCAGATTGAGCTTTGGTTTGGGTACCTGGTTCTCTCTCTCAGTCTCGAGGCATTTCCAGTGGAATCAGGAACCTTCTTGGGATGTTCCAACTCCTGTTCTGTGTGTATAGCATTTTTCTCATTTGAAGTCCTTTAAGCTTTAAACTTGGTTTAAATATTTCTTCTAAATGTAACTGCACTCTCATACTAGTAAATTATGTAGCTCCTTCGGTATCTGTTAAGTAGCTGTTCTGGAGCATGAACTTTTCTGCATGCCTTTCAGTTAGACATCCATTCTTATGGCCAAGAGTGGACTACTACTTGTTTGGGAATGACTCTTGAAATGATGGAGCACTTAATTTTGAGAGTTTATCTTAAAGCCCTAAATACTATTATTTGATTCATTAAGTAGATTGTGTGTTGGAAGTAGTTACACAGACTGTTCCTAATATAAAGAGCTAAAAGATGTTCATTAACTTCTTTTCCATCTGTTGTATGGCTTTTTCTCCACTTCCATGTCGCCTTCTGAAGTATTTTTTTCCCCATTGTCCTTTATGGCTGATTTTAATTTCTCTCCACCTTAGTTTTTCATTATTGGAAAAACTTCTTGTTTAGATTTTTGAAAAAAGCGACAAAACAAATAAAGTAAAACAGGGAAGTTCTTTGGCCAGATGTTGCTGTTAGGTGTGGATTTCTGTTTCGTAAGTATTAAAGCCTGGGTGAGAAATCCAGGACACACAACCATCTGTTCTTCCAATCCCTACAATGAATGTGGAATTTCCTCTGCTGACCATATGTTTTCTATTGCTGTTGGAACAGTAAAATGAATTTGCAGCAATTGTGGTCACTTTTTCTGCGTTAAAATTTTTAAGCATTGTAATAAGAGAATCTGAGAAAGAGAATTGGGAAAATACTCATTGGAGGCTTAGGGGAAGAGAGACTCATAAGAACCTGTCTTTTTACCTGAAGTTGAACTAAGTCTTCAGAATCCATCAAAACATCTTTGCATGAATTCGTGTGTATTTTTGTGTGTGGTTGAGTTGGGAGTTATTAGGAGGTAGACACATGGTAAGGAACTGTTCAGTTTGCTTTAATGTGAGAGTATGTATGCCAAGCAGTATTGAGAAAGGCCACGGCTGGCAGCAGGCTGGCAGGATGCTGGACTTGGGGGCAGTTGGTTTTACTCTGCACAGTTCTTATTAAAATAAGAATGCGTAGCATATCAGGGCAAAAACCTGGATATTGCTCCATGATTGTTACATAATTCCTTGTTATGTATGAGTTCATGACCTATTGCAGCCTTATAAAAAAACAAACAAAATACTCTATTCCTTCCTTACAGTCTTCCTCAGTTACCCAGAGAAAACCCTACGTGCCCCATAAGAGCACTGCTGCATCGCAAGCCAACCCGATGGCGTCCTCTACTGCTGTGCCTGTAGGATTTCACTATGAAACAAAATACGTAGTTCTCAGCTACCTGGGACTTTTATCACAAGAGAAGCCACAGGAGCAGCATCCTCCTTCAACTCAAGGTGATATTTGCATATTCATCTGTACCTATTTACATATGCAACTGTGTTTGCAGTTAGTTCTTCAGCTGTTTGTGCATGGATGCAAAATGTCAGCCTGATGTTTAGCGTAATGCGTGTCTTCTTTTATTCATTGAAATAATGAGAGGAGATGCTGATGGAAACAAAGCTGTTTGTATTTAGATTACTGTTTTGATTTGAGCTATGCCAGGGTTGGTTGTTGTTTATGAAGCAAATAAGTGGTTTTAGTAGCTGTCTTGAGGTTAGGAGGGATGGATATGTATTATCTTTGTTGAGCCATCTTGAGAATTTAAGCCCATGCCTGGTTTTTTTGGGAGGCAAGTAGAAGTAAGCAGGGCTGAGGTGGTGTTTACCGGCACAAACTCTGAGCGATGACTTGAGCAATCTCATGTGCTGAATAGTTTTGCCCTATTATGTTAATGCTTCAGTTGTTGTCAGTCCGTGGTAGTACAGACATGTGAGGCGTAACCAGGCCTATGCTGCATCTATTTATTTATTTATTTTTAAGAAGACAAGGACTTTGTGGAATCAGATGGAGTCAGATGTTTCTTCCAGATCAGGTTTATGCATATAGGAGGTTAACGAAATAAATAGGCAGAATAAAAGAAGTTTGATACATTGTGTTTCACATAAACCTAGGTAGTAAAACTTAATTTATTTTGTGGTGGCAAGCACTTAAACAATGTTGTTTTTCAAGATTGTTTTGGTGGCTTGTCATGTCTTAATGATGTTACAGTCACTACTAGCGCCTGTGATTCAGAACTTATTCTGATGAAAGGCATATTAAAAAAAAAGACAGTCTCCAGAATCTTTCTTTTTGAACAAGCATTTAAGAATGCATACTCTGTCATTTACTGAATTTACCTGTCATGAAGTGAGAAATTCCTGAAAAGAAAAGATAGCATCAAAGTTATGACAAATTCCTTTATCAGTTTGGCACCTAAGCATATAGCATATGCTGGTTGTATATAATTTATAAAATTAATCTTGGTATATTTAAGGTATGTCTGTTACTTCTACTTTGACTGCATCTGTGGTCCATGAAAGGAGAGGCACCGTAGTGCCAAGATGCTGTTTCATAAAACGCTTTGTTGGAAAATGTGCTTATGTTAGCAATAATCTCCCATTCTGGGATATCCCCATATGGGATAACAGGTCTAAACTGAAAATCTGTTGAATACTTACAAAGCTACAATGTGGAAGAGTCTGCTTTATTCTCTAAATGTAAGATTCAGAAACGAAACTGTTCGTCTTAAAGCTTTTTGTAAATAATTTGGCTGCAGTTACCTTTGAAATATTTGCAAATTGAGGGGAAACCTTTCAACTGTTTCTTATTACTGAAACCTCTAAGAAATATTTGAATTAAAGAGCAATATTAAAACCTTATAAAGAGTAAGCTGCAAATGTTTAAATAAAAATTTTGTAGTCAGTTAAGAGGACTTTCAAGCTCCTGTGTAAAGATAACTGTTGAGTTTACCTTTCAGATATTACTTAAATACGTTAGATTGTGTGACAGGAGGCTGTAGTTGGATTTACCAGTAAAATACTCTAAAAGCATTGATACTTTCCAAATCTGTTCTTTCCTCCTTGTTGCTCTAAACCTTCCCTTCTAAACAGGAAACAGTCCTACATTTATTTCCCGCACCCTTACTGCCAAAACCAGACAGTGGCCACAATTTCTCCTCCCTTGGTCATCTTGCACTGTAGTTAGATCTCTCTTTCAGTGTTTTTACTGCTTTCTGATCAAAGACTCCAGATAAAGTTGTTTTCCCTTACTTTTAATCTGCCATGCTGTTTTTCACCCTCTCCTGTAATGCCTTGGATGGATTTCAGGCTCTTCCTGAACTAAGTGCAAACACTTTATCCTTCTGCCTCAGGATTTCTTTCATTCTTTCCTAACTCACTTTTCCTGTTGTTTTTCTGCTTTCTGTGCTTCCAACAGCTTTCATTTGTCTGACAGTTACTTTTTAAAAATCCTTTCTCCTACTTCCTCTCTCCTCGCTTGTAGTTGAACAGTTGTTTGAGCTGCATTCCCAGGGTATGTGCGGTAACAGCCATGTGTTTATTTGGAAGTACTGTATGCATCTTCTTTGAACATTAAGGAGTTTGTATGTACAGTCTGTATCTCCTTGTTGTCTGGCACGGGCCTGATGCCTGCTTGTGGAGAGCTGTACCAAAGCATTCTGCTCTGCATGCTTCTCCCCCAGGGAGACAGTGAGAGAAGCAGCAGCCCATAATGGATATTACCTGCGCTGCCTAATGCACTGCTGGAAGGTAGCTGGCTATTACAGTAACGAGTGTGGTATGAGGAACCTGGTTAGAACAAGAGAGATGTGAAAGCCAGTAAATGAAAATGAATAGCTGTTGTGTGATAGAATCCCAACATGAAGAGGAAACTTCTGGTTTTTGGTAAGGAAGACGTATGAGGGATAATAACAGTATGATGTTACATTGTGCTTGTCAGTGTGTTTTTCAAGCAGTGCCATCAATGGTTTATATGCTATCTTGCTGATCCCAAGTTCCTTTCACTGATGATTTTTGTGGTACTTAAAGTGCTGGTCAGTAGTCTTTCTACTCTCTACAGCTGAATGCTGTTGATTTACGAATTGAGAGGATTCTGATACAAGGTACTTGTCACTTAATCTTATTTTGCTCTAATTTGTTTATTGTACTGACAGACCTTTCATGGGAAACAATTGAAGCAGTGATGTTTGGCTGTTGCCTGTTTCTATTTTAGCTGCAGAACACTTCTCTATTTTATATGTTTCACTCATATGAGGTATTGACTCTGGTATATGGTACTTTCCCTTCGTATATTTTTCTTAGATCCAAGTAAGTCCTTACTCTTTGTCTGATTTCTGTATCATCATATTACAATATAAGGGGAGTACCCAGAAGGGCTGGCTGGCTTTGTCCTCACTATGTTAGTCTCTTTTGTCTCCTTCAGTATTGGAGAGTGAGGGACTCCTCTAGAGGGCAGTTCAGAGCAGGAGCCTAATTACAGCCACCTTGTATCAACTGCTGGAGGATCTTCTCTCTTTCCATTGCGTGTATACAGAGCACGGGGAAATAAGGTACACTAGGAGTAGTTAGTATTTCTGTACCTCCCTTGAGTCTTTATAGCAGTCTTATAGATTTCAACACTCAACAGCGTTCAACAGTGAAGTTTCAACACTCCAGTTAAGCTAGAAAATGTATCTGATGGCTCAAAAAACCAACCAAAAAGCGATCTTTCCCAACAGGTGTGGTACTATTTTATCTCTGGTAGGAGAAATTGAACACTTTTCTTCATTCCCCACCCTTTCCTCATATGGTCATGTCCCCCAAACCTCTGCTTCCCTGCATATCGTACTAGAGTTCTTTTCCTGACGTATGTCTTTTTATTCCAAAAACTCAGAGGAGAGTAAATCTTTAAGATATTTGTTAATTTCAGGTTAAAACTTCTCATCTTCTGTAGACATAACACGCTTTACCAGAGTAGTGGTTTTTGGAGGGACTTTATTCAGTGAAGACTCAGACAAATTACATAGGAAATTACCTCACTGTATTTCCTTTTGGATCTCTTGGTTGGTCTTGATTTTGTTGCAGGAAAAAATTACAAGAGCTAAAAACACTTCTGACTTCAAGCAAAGATGACTGATCTAAGTCAGCATCTCATTACTACTTTGAAAGTTTTATTTAGACAGCTTTTCTTCAGTGCAGGAACTGAAGAGAAAACCATCCACAGTTTTCCAGGCTCTTGAAGAAAAGCTGAAGTTTTATTGGACAAACCAATCTTTTGGTATTACAGCCCTATAGTATACTGTAGGAGGTTTCAGTGTCTCCAGAAGAAAATCCAGCAAACTTAACTGGGCAATAGTTTGAGAGATAACTCCTGCTGCAGTTTTGGCAGAGTAGTGATTCTGCATAGCACTCACTTCAGTTTACTTAAAGCAAAGTCTGTCAGCAGAAAATTCCATTACTTTTTGATAGGTTTTCAGGTGGGTGGATAATACAGATTGCTCAGATAAATCTGATAAAACACACACGGTAAGATACCATCTGTGTAAGTCCGTGTGGTTTGAGGCAACAGACAGGTACAATTATTTTAAGATGTGTAGAAGCTCTCGGTTATCTGTTCATTAGATTGTGGAGAAATGCTGTAGTATTTTTTCAGAACTCGTCGTATCTATAATTACTGGTTCATACACAGAAAGTAAATATCAGGTATCAGAAAACGATTCTACATTTTCCCCCCTGAAGTTCACACTCATCATAGAAGCTTCCAGTCTGCTGCAGTTGTTAGTACTACTTACTTTTTAAGTGAGTCAAAATACTTTGGTTTTGTGATGCAATATATTTGTATTATAAATATTATATTCATCAAGGAGTAACTTCTAGTGTATTTCTGGTTTTTAAGCTACTTCCCCATGGTTTGACTCCATCCCATGAGCCTGTGGCTGTAACGAAGATTCTGAAGAAATGTAGTTTTTCTTGACAGAATCTTAAATAATCCCTTAGCTCACGCAGCATCTGGAAGATTTATAATCAATGCCACTGCTGCGTGGTGGCATAGATTACTCAAGAGGTGAACAAGGTTTTGACAGGTTTGCAGTTTCCCTGAGGTGCACACAATCTGCAGAACTTTAATCCAATTATTGTGTACAATGTTCTTTTGACCATTTATTATCTGTTTTGGAATTACTGTCTGAAGTGCTGTATATAGTCAGTGATCATGGCATTTTAGTGGTTTCCCACACACGTTTCTTACAGCTGAGCAAGTTCAATAACTGGGTTGCTGGGAGAAATGGGGTTTACATTTATTTGTTCACTTGCTTTAGTTAGAAATGAACTCTTGTTACATCTCAGGAAATACATACACAGATAGGCAGAGATGGCCAGGTTTCATGCATTGTGGGTGAGCTCAAGGCCTTGGAGTGGCTATCTCAAATCTAAAAGTAGTACCTCTTTTATATGGTTTTGACCATCATGGGTTGGATACCTGTCATTGCAAGATTTTCTATCATCAGGTGACACTTGGAGTGGCTGTTGCAGAATATCTTGGTTTTCTTCATACTCCATCTTTACTTACCCCTCGTAGTTCCTACAGTTGGTCTGTAGGAAGTGAAGGAGTTTTTGAGCTGTCTTTAGCTTAGATGAATAACTCATTCTTTAGAAGCTTTCCTCTTAGTGCGAAACATACCCACTTTGGCTGAAAAGTCACAGACTGAAAAGGTACACTTTGTAGGTCAGACTGATCCAGTTTGTGGTAATAAGGGAGCTATTTCCTGAACCAAGGCAAGGAAAGGGAGTTTTTGGACTGTGACTTGGAGAAGAAAGACGTGGTCCCTCCAGGAATGTGAATTCTTACTTAATTAAGCCTCCTCTCTGCCCACAAAAAATATTGACTGCTAGTTGTCAGTCTCATCTCTTTTTGGTTCTTAGTATTTTGGACTTTTTAAATTTCTTTTAAGATTAACCTTCTTATGGTTTATAAATAACTTATTTTAAACATTTCTCAAATTGAGGTTCTACATCTATGTATGGCAGTCTGTGTTCTGGAGTTTGCTGGCATAGATATACTTTTCATTAAAAGAAACATGAATATGTTTGTGAAGAGATTTTGTATATTTTTGCCACTTAGTGCTAGCAGAAATTTTAGGCGCTTACTTACTGTTTTAAAAAGTTTGAGATGTTAAAGCAATACTAGAATCATTCCAAAAGTAAATTTTTAAGTCAATGTTGACTATACAGAAGTTAATATAGAGACCTAGGAGAACTTGAAAACACAAATAGTGGTAAGTTAAAATTACAAGCATGAAAGAAAAACAGTCGGGAGCAATCTGCAACATCAAAGGCTTTCTTTTTCATTGACGCTGCATTCACTTGAACTAGAAAGACATAATGCCTTTTTCAGTCTCTCCTTAGAGTTGCTGTTGTCTCTTGTTAGCTGTAGTTTGACACAAACACTGTAGAATCAGATGTGCAGGCTCTCTAACTCTGATGAATGACTTCCATCCCTCCTCCTCCTGGGATGAAACCTGGGGAATGGGTCAGTTTTGTATTGTTACTGAACTTCTGGAATGGCCTTATCGGTGGAGTTTTACTGAAATATTGCATTTCTTTAGTAGTCATAACACTGATTGCCAGTGATGTGGTGCTTGATGGACTTTTAGAATACGTTTTCCTGTACTTTGCAGGTTACCTCCAAATACCTGAAAAACAAAATCTTAACAAGAACACACTTGTGCAAAAGGGAACACTTATTCCATAAGTAGAAAGTAGAATGCACTAGCTTCTTTGTGTAAGGCTGTGTAACAGAGGTTTGTTAGGTCTTTGGGCTGGGAAGAGGCCTTTCAGAGTCAATTTACCGAAAGCCCCTAATAGGCAAATCCATTTTTTCATCATAGGAAAGCATTCAATGTTTATGAATCTTACAAGTACCATTTCTGGTGTGACCATTTGCATTATTAAACAATGAAGATATGTCCTCATCTACTGAAAGCTATTTTTACTGTTTTATTCTGCCTATTTGCAAGCTGACTTGGAAGTTGTCTAAAGGAGAAAAAAGGTACCACTCACTTGAGACCTTTGCTATTGGAATACGCCGTTCTCCAGCGCTGGGTGCATTTTTTGTTAGTAAGGGTCAACATACAGGAGATGCAGAAAGCTGAAGTCCATTGATAATTAGGGGAAGAAACGGTGCAAAGTCACTTTTCCAAGAGGGGTAGGTTTTTGATGTTTTGGCACGACTGAATAGTCAGGTGCTATTGGAATCAGCAGCTGCTGCAAAGTTGTGGGTGTTACGAGATGGAAACCATTGACTGCAGCACTGATTATCTAAACAGCTCTTTTGTACGCTGGCAGCAATGGAATTTCTCTTCCTTCCATTTTCCGGGTGACTTATTATCAAGTATGACAGCTTGTCATGTGTGATCATCATCACATTAGTCCCATGAGAACTGGTGCTCTTCTGAATGCCCTCATCCCTTCCATATACAGGGTGAAGCACAGGTTAAAATAAGAGTTTGTACTTGCATATACTTGTTGCACTTGACTGTGAAGCAGTAGTTCGGTCATTCAATGGGGCGACCTTAAAGGGACTGACAAGGCATTAGTGAGTGTCTGTTCATTAACCAAAAGGAGGAAAAATTTGCTCCTCTCTGGAATTTATTGTTCGGAGTGGCAAAGAGACACTGTTTGAGAAGGGATTTAAAAAGCTAAATAAAGTTATTCTGGACATGGTGATGATGATTATCTAACTGTGTGATTAAGTAAAATGGAATTAAACTGACTATCTGTTGTTCCTTTAAACTGTTCGCATAAATAAATGTAAACATTTTACACTGACTTGTACATTGGTTTAGAAAGATTTTTGTCTCACAGGTATCTATTGAGTGCTGAGTTTTTAACAATTAGCACACATTCAGTGGATTGATTCTGTGGATTCTGTGAATTTTTAACTTGTTTTTCAAATGCAGGAGACCTTGCAAGCTTATTATCTAGTGTTTTTTTAAATACAGAAAATGCACAGTGTACTTTACTACACATCTGTGTGTGTTAACTAGTATTGTTGCTTTTACGGTTTTCACACGCTCTGATACAAAAACTATTGATATTGATTGTTCATTAAGGAGGAATGGGGAAGGTGATACAACACTTAAGAGTGAGTTTGAGCAGATTTAAATAGAGGTGGATCGAAGAAAATAGGCAGTCATTCATAAGACCACCAAATTATGATATAGTGTCATCAAAACAGGAATGAAGACAGACAGGCCAGAAAGCTACACTGAGTGTTGCAGGACTAAGAAACAGTGGACATGGGCAACGTTATCAGAAGATTGGCCAGGACGTGGTGTTTAAATCATGGGCACGAGAGAACATGAAGCCCCAGGAAAGAATTCTAAGGAATATTCAGAAGTAAAAGAGCTAAGAAAATGTGTTTTGGGTAACCCAGTAACTGATACTGTTGAAAGTAGCAGAGTGCAGGGCTAATGAGGACTGATAATTGACCCAAAACTTAGGGAAGGAAATGGCTGGAAAGGGGATTACTTAGCAAAGTTTAGTTTTGTGGTCAATTTTATTTGCTTATTTATGTATTTCAGGAGTAAGTTGATACAAAATTCACTTTTATATTCATTGGATATAACAGATACATTTTATCTCTAAGTAGAACATTTTAAGGAATTGAAAGACAGAAAGAAGAACATTTTAGTAGTAGGCTGTTGATTTGGTGATGTTTGGTCAAAATAAGACAGCAGTTAATGGAACAGTTTTTGTAGTGTGCTTTAAGAACGGGATTGGAAGACATGCTTGAAAGCTGATGGAAGAAATAAAGATGAGCAAACCCAAAGAAAAAGCAGCTAAATAGCAAGAGTTTTGAGCTGGAACTCTGTCCCAGACATGTAGTCTTTCCATTAGTACCCATCCCATAAAGCACTTACTTGAGTAACTGCCATACGGCCTTGTATTGGAAAGGTTGACATTCAGCAGCCAGTTCCTTAAAGGTTCAAACGTTTTAAATACCTTGGCTTGTTTGGAAACAGTTTTGTGTCTCTCTTTTGCTACAGCCTGATAATTAAGATGATTGAGAATCTTTGTAATCCTGAATGGTATGGCTGAAACAGCTTCTTGTTACCAAATATCTAGAGTCAGCACATGGAATATGTATTCATCACCCCAAACTGCAGCATATGTACTTCTGGGAATATGCAGCCATTTCAAATTCCTAAATTAATTGATTAGGAGATGAGAACCGACAATTAATGGACAATTGTGGTGTCCTTTGCCTCTCTTGTTACTTGTGATCCCGGTCTTCAGTTATTTCATTGTGGCCTGTAAACTCCTCGTGGACAGTGTAATGATGCCCAATTAATAGATTTTGGGACTCTTCACTGATGTCATTACATAGTTGCTCTGAGTATTTTTGTAGATTTTGCAGGCATCAATATAAGTTTTGTATTTTGCTACTAAAAATCAAGCTTATGCCTATGTCTGCTTTGTTTTGGTGTAGTTTGATGATGAGTGTATCTGTTTTAATGACTGCTTGTTTATGTGCCTTGGTTTGATTTTGGTCTGAAATTTAAGGTAAGTTTGTTTTTGAAGTTCTTATATATTCTGTTTGTGGCTTTACAGTTCTAATTTTTTAAAATATATTTTTATATAAAGCATCTGTTCTTTCTTGAATAGGCCTGGAAGTTTATGTGTTTTTGGGTTCATACAATAAAACTTTTGTAATAAGTGCCCTTACGGGATCATGCTTTTAATGTTGCTGTCTGAAATAGAACTTTCACCTTGAATTCTTTTATTAATATTTCGATATCATGTTCCATTACCTACCTTATTTGAAATACTACATTTGAATAATTTCTCTGGTTTCTTTTAGGGACTCAACAACAGCTTACGGCACAACATGGTTCGGAGAAAGAGGCTTTGGAGAAGATTAAAATAGAAATTGAGGAGGAGCTAAAACGTCTTGATGAAGAAATCCTGGAAGGTGCTTCAGATTTTCCCATTTCAATCAATAATCTCTATGCACTATAACGGTGGTTAATTTGTAACAGGTACTCTAGTTAAAGAGATTTTTGCACACACTGAAGCTCTTTACCCTCTTCCCCCTACAAGATTTCTACACGTTGTCACATGAAGTAAAATAGTTAAATGTTACTGTTTGCAGTGGTGGAGTCTAGCCAAAGAAAACAGTTGAATGACATTTAATAGGCTACTATAAATAATGAAATATAAGCAGCCCTTTAGCTGCTCCAGTTGATGACAGAAGTGAAATCATTCCCCAGCAGCTAACATTTAGAGGACTGTGGACTTAAACCATTAGTTTTTTCACTTCCACCAGGTTTAGTTTTTGTGACATGCTTTGACCTCTGGATGTGGCTTTTACAGGACTCCCAGCAAGGGATGATTTGGGAACAATCTTTGCTTTACATGTGTTGCAAATGGGAAATCTGAAGTAGAAAGGATCTGGTTACATTCAGCCATATAGACCTTTCTTAGAGGTTTTAAACTGAGAAGGAAAAGGTTATATGAACAAAATATTATTTAAAAAATTATATTCTAGTCCTGCTGCAGATATGCCCGTGTGTGTAAATTTTACTATGGAAAAGAAGCTGTTTTGCTGCTCCATCAGGGTTGGCATCAGCTTAAAATTGAGAATAGTTGCACATTCAGCTAACTTGCTGGTTAGGATGCAGTTGTGAAATAAGAGCTGGAGGGGAAATGTAGCTCAAACTCAGCTATGGCTTCTAAGTACCACCTCCAGAATATATTTGGATGATACTTGTTTTACTACTAGTTGTTTATAGCATGCTTTGACTACAGAATTGTGATTTCTTCATCCCTTATGTAAATGGTGTTAACTAGTGGGATAAGAAATGTGAGACTGTTGATGTTCTTACATGAATCTATTTTATTTTATTTTGTATTTTTTTTTTTCTCAGCATTTACCACTACAGGATTTGACTGCCATACTTCCCCGGTGTTCAGTCCTGCTAATCCAGAGAGCTCAATAGAAGACTGCCTGGCTCATTTGGGGGAGAAAGTGTCCCAGGAATTGAGAGAACATCTGCACAAAGCATTGCAGAGCTTGCTTAGCAAGTGAGTTTCCATTTGCTTTTTCAAAGGGAAGATGTTTCCCTTTGCATTGTGACTGCTGCTGAAATGCTAAAGATGGGACTACATTTTGTATTGCATTTCTTTCTTTTTCAATGTTCCTTTATCTGACTGTGTTTTTGTTTTGTGTTGTCATGTGAGAACGCTTCTTTGTGGTATTTGCTCTTTGCAGTAATGTAAATTCTAAAATTTTTCTAAGCTTTTATCATTGAACTTCTGCAACTAATTCAAGTAGTTTGAGTTGCTGGTGAAAGTAGCAGCTGGCAGCTGCCGGTTGCCATTGCCAATTTCATGAATGCTGGGCTGTAGCCAGATTAACTTCTTTTACCTTAGAGTTAAGAGTGGAGCTGAAGGTTTGTTTGTAGTCTGGCCCAAGGTGAGTGGGAGAGTTTCCTTGAAAGGACTGTAGTTAGGCCTTATGACCACCATTCAGGTACACATCTGAAGCAAATGTGGGCCCCTGGGCTGACCTCGGTGCCTTAAGAGCTGTCGTGCCAGTTTAAGCTTATTGTTTAAATAGCACATTGTACTTGTCATGCTAATATATTGATTAACATCTTTTGCAAATTGGTAAAAAGGTTGTGGTTGCTTGGTTTTCTATTATAAATTACCAGTGTGATTTTAATGGATCCACATGAACTACTTTGGCTGTTCTGAGTGACGTCCAAAATGTATTTGTAGAGAGCTGGAGCTGGAAGGTGCTGCTTTAGGGACAGTTACATAAATGCAGTTGTGAAGGCAGAATTAGCAAATAGCTATCTGAGTCTGTTTTGTGGATTGGTTTAAATAATATGGCTCAAAAGAAGCTGAGAATCTCTAGTACTACTCCTTCAGAGTTTCCATAGCTGTTCATGAACCGTTTGAACAACAAGGTACTGGAAGCCTAGATTATCAGTGCCTAGTGTAAGCTTTCTGATGCATGGGTGTTAAGCCTTCCATACATGAATGGGAGAGGCATCCCGTGCCTTCGTGAAAGTAACACCCTTTATGACAGACCTCTGGAAGATTACAAATTTGGAAGTCATTACATCTGAACATCAGGAAACATCTTTTTACTGCGAGGGTGACTGAGCACTGGCAGAGGTTGCCCAGAGGAGTTGTAGAGTCTTCATCCTTGGAGATCTTCAAAAGCCAGGGCATGGTCCTGGGCAGCCTGCTGTAGCAGACCCTACTTGAGCAGGGAGGTTGGACAGGCTGTTCTCCAGTGGTGCCTTCTGACCTCAACCATTCTGTGATTCCTTAACTAGTCCATCTATTCCTTAACTATCTCCGCAGTCAACAACCAAAGGTTGACTTTTTATGACCAATATAATTTAAAACTGACTGTTCAAAGTCAGGTGGGATGGGGATTTGGGCAACCTGGTGCAGTGAAAGATGTCCCTGCCCATGATCTTTAAAGGTCCCTTCTAACCCAAACCATCCTATGATTCTATAATTTTGGCTTGGATTTCACAGCAAAGGTGCCATATAACATCTGACCAGACAGAAGATGATGGTTATCTCCTTTTCCATGAGTCATCCAGTGGAAAAGTACACTCTGTCAACTCACCATTTAACTTTCAGGAACTAATATATATACTGTCGGCTTCTATATGCAGTTTCTACAGGGTCAAAAAGTCAGTTCAGTATTGTGTAAACTAACAATTATTTACTTGCAGAAAACAGTATGTGGGGGTACAAGTTTCTCCTTAAGTGGGAGAAGATATGCTAGTGTGTTCCTCCAGAAATGGCAGAAGCTTATCTGCCTTTAAAAACCAGGCATTTGCCCTGTGTGGCCTTAGAAACTTGTTCTTGGCATCTTCTGAAGAGCTGAGGTTTTGATAAATGCCTCACTACACACTAAAACAAGAGATGGCAACAAGTTGGAAAATTAGCAGTAAGCCTTGAAACCCATCCTTTCTGTGTGTCTAAAATGGTAACTTGAAATACCAGCATTTTAAGTTTAAATGGCTTAAAGGTTGTAGATAATTGTCTGTCTGACATTGAGGGGTCATAACTGGTGCACTCTAGGTTGATTCTTTTTGGAGAGTACCTGAGATTATGTCTTTGAAAATTAAGTGGTTCTAATTTGTTAGTATCCTGATGTTCTAGGCTTCTTGTATTTTCTATGGGAATAATATTTGCATTCTAAGCTTTTTTTGAATTTATATACATACATACATACATACAAAGTCTGAAATGCCTGTGAAAACGTGTTGACAAGCATGCCTTTTTATAAGGCAAACTAGAGCTACTGTTTAATCTCTTGATAATATCCTTCCTGCAGCTGTTGTTGCTCTTCTCATCCCACTGGTTCATTTGGATTTGTGTTTTAAAGGAACTAATGTACTAAGGAAGTTAAGAGAATGCAGTTAAAATGACAAACCCAAATTATGTTTTTCCCAGTGTGCTTTAACTCTGTTCTTTTACCCATGTTTAATACAGCAGTGCTATTTGGTGCAATACTTATTTATTTTTCTTATATTTTCCTGTCCTCTTACATGCATATAAACAAGTATGTTATGGTACAGTAGGCTGTTAGATCATGACAGGTTCTTGGAGTTCAATAAGCAGTCTTCTGTCCAAGACCAGTTACCACTATTTTCCTTAAATTAAAGTCTGAACTTGCCTTTTGTCATCTGATCTGGCTCAGGACAGCTGCTTTTGAAGCAATACATCTGCTGTCACTCAGCAGAAAGTCTTTATTGTTACAGACTCTAAGG